CCACTCACATGATTAGAGGTCAAGAGAGCTTTAGGAGGAGAGGCTGAGAGGTATGAGACTCTTCAGCCTGGTGAAGCATAGGCTCAGGGGTGACTTGGTGGCAGCCTACAAGTATATAAGGGGTGTGCATCAGGAACTAGGGAGAACACCTGTTCACCAGGGCACCCCAAGGGAAGACAAGGTCTAATGGTCACAAACTGCTGGAAGACCATTTTAGACTGGACATAAGGAAAAACTTCTTTACCATCTGAATCTCGAGAGTCTGGAACAGACTCCCTGCAGAAGTGGTGCAAGCACCTACTCTGGATACCTTTAAGAAACACTTGGATGCTTATCTTGCTGGGGTGATCTGACCCCAGCTGACTTCCTGCCCCTTGGGCAGGGGAATGGACCCGATGATCTCACTAGATCCCTTCCAGCCCTAATGTCTATGAAATCTATGTTGAACTGGGTAATACTATATTACAACTGAAGGCATATACATTCAGAATAAGAAAGTACTATTTTTGAGTAAGTGCCATTATCTTCAAATCATATAATAGTTCTGCCAGTACTTGACAGTTAACATACTGTTCAGAGTTTGAAATGTACTTTGTTGAATAAATCATGATCAATCATAAGCATTACTTCAGTGAAAATGAAAAGCAAGCCACTATTTTAATTGCCAATGACGGAACAGTAAATAGGGTGTGCTACATACTGTGGAGTACATTAGATCAATAACTTTATTTTCTGCTACATCATACTTTTCTAATTTGTCTTCATAATTAACTTTCCGTAATTAGCTTCGGAGTAATGCCATGTTTAGAATCTTTGTAACATATTTATAATGCAAGGTGACATACAGTTCCTAAGAGTTTAATGAACAACAAAATACTGTCAGGTTGCACTAACATATCTAATAGATCCTGCATAGCCTGCAAGTTGATTATTTGTTTTAGCTTTTCCAAATTTAACCCAGTGCATGAGGTAGAAAACCTGCTTATTTTTTTTACCCACAGTTACTGATGTGGCTGTTGATTTGGTAATCCAACTCAAACAACCCTAGGAAGATGTAAGAACTTAATGCTTGGAATCCCCTTAATGTCTGGAATCCCCAAGAAAAACTTAGGCACAACTCAGGTACCAAACTGCCCACTCATTTGTCACATTAAATCATGAGGTGCCTAAACTCAGTACCTCCTGGTATGACTTTTAACATTCTCTAGATTTCTACTTCTGCACATGCCCTAGAATTGCCTGTGTGATTACTGTTAGCAATGTGTATTAACTAGGAGCTAGATGTTCTGCTACCTCAGCCCTCTGAGATGGTTCTAAGCCAGCCTAATACAGTAATAAAGTCTGGATCCTCACAAAATACTGTTGTAGTCACTTTCACGAAATGAAGTGGAAGTGGATATACTAGTGGTACTAGGGATCTCTTATATAATAGCTCAATTGTTTGAGCACCCACTCAGGAATAGAAGATCTGGGAAATAGAAGTCTTAGTCTCTTCAGCATGAAGGAATTTGAGCACATGTATCCTACTTCTCAGGGGGGTGCCATACTAGTCTATAAACTATTCAAGGTGGAAACAGCCTTCACTCTTGTTGAAGCTGCACAGCTGTGCAGAAAATAATTCAAGCTTCATTAATCCAGAAAAATGGAGCATAACTGTAGGTCCATTTTATGGGCACTTCCTAGGAGAGAAAAGTTGTCGATTACAGGACTGGTCTTCCTGGCTTTACATTAAATAGTCATGATATAAAATAAACATAAATGACACTACTCAACATGAGACAAAAATTGCCAGTGCTGCCTATGGACACCTCCAAAACTGTTTTTGTGATCATGATATTAGCACCCAAACTAAACCTCTTGCTTACCGGGCTGTTGTCATTTCTACCCTGCTACATGGGTGTGAAACTTGGATGATATATTGGAAATACTTGAGAACTTTGAAATGTTACCTTCAGTGATGTCTCCAGAAAATCTTTCATAACAATTGGAAGGACAGAAGAACAAATGCCAGCATTCTGGCCTAAGCAAACACCCCCAGCATTGAAACTATATTTTTATGGCATAGGTTTTGTTGGACAGGACATGTCATAAGGATGTCTGACAACCAGCCTCACACTGAAAGCCAATTTAAAGAAATGCTGTATTAACATCAATACCTGATGAGAGACTCAAGAATTAAATTGTCCCCAATGGTGCCATGATACAAGACATTTTGAGCAAGACTTTATGATGGTAAATAATATAATGGTATGCAGAATGTTTTAATTCAAACTCAATACATTCCTTTATAAGTGATAAATATTCACATTTGCTGTTATGGTAGTTTTCACACAAGTTTTAAAGAAAAGTTGATTATAAATATTTTAAACGATGCTGATTATATACCCAGCATGTGCTATGGCTCTTCTGAGCCAAATAATGTGTGCAAAGGAACTGAATCACTTCAAGATTCACTTAGAGAAATTTATGGAAGGGATAATATGATAACAGTGGAAGTTCTGGTTTAACAATCTGTATGTGTAATATGTGAAATATGTATTTGAAATTCCCATATTGGAGCAAAGAGGTAAGTTTTCTGTATTGTGGCAGTTGTCTAGTAATCCCATGCTTTAAGGCTTTTGTTTATAGCCATTAGGAACCAGAAAGGAACATTTTGCCCCTCATGAATGGTGCTGACTTCTACTTTGTTTTTTGTTGTTGTTTATTTTGGAGCAGGGGAGGGAGCTTTTTCTTTTCTTTTCTTTTCTTTTCTTTTCTTTTCTTTTCTTTTCTTAGCATTATAGAAAATTAGGGTTGGAAGGGACCACAGGAGATCATCTAGTCCAACTCCCTGCTCAAAGCAGGACCATCCTGGAAAACTCATGGAGCAGATCCTAAAGGAATCCATTTCTAAGCACTTGCAGGAGAAAGAAGAAGGTGTTTAGGAACAGTCAACATGGATTCACTAAGGTCTAGTCATGCCTGACCAGCCTGATTGCCTTCTATAATGAGATGACTGGCTCTGTGGATGAGGAGAGATAAGTGGATGTGTTATACCTTGATTTTAGCAAGACTTTTGATACTGTTGCCCACAACATTCTTCCAGGCAAACTAAGGAAGTACGTGGCTGGATGAATGCATTGTAAAGTGGATAGTAAACTGGCTGGAACATTGGGCTCAGATTGTAGTAATCAATGGCTCGATGTCTAGTTGGCAGCCGATATCAAGTGGAGTGCCCCAAGGGTCAGTCCCGGGGCCAGTTTTGTTCAATGTCTTCCTCAATGACCTGGAATATGGCATAGAGTGCACCCTCAGCAAGTCTGCAGATGACACTACACTGGAAGGATTAGTAAATATGCTGGAGGGTAGGGCTGGATTCAAAGTACATAGACAAATTGTAGGATTGGGCCAAAAGAAATCTTATAAGGTTCAACAAGGACATCCATGCATGTGTAGATCATCCCAGTGATGAAGGCTTTGTCCAGCTGGGTCTTAAAAACCTCCAAGAATTGAGATTCTACCACCTCTCTGGGTAACCTCTTCCAGTGCTTTACTACCCTTCTACTGAGAAAATTCTTCCTAATATCGAACCTAAACTTCTCTTGCTGCAACTTGAGAACATTGCTCCTTGTTCTGTCATCTGCTATCACTGAGAAGAGTCTAGTCCATCCTCTTTTGAACCCTGCTTCAGGTAGCTGAAGGCTGCTATTAAATTCCCTCTCAGTATTTTCTTTGCACTTGTCCTTGTTGAACCTCGTGAAATTTCTTTTGGCCCAATCCTCCAATTTGTCTAGGCCGCTCTGAATCCTAGCCCTACCCACCAGCATATCTACTATTCCCCACAGCTTGGTGTCATCTGCAAACTTGATGACAGTGCACTGTATGCCATCTTCCAGGTTGTTGATGAAGGCATTGAACCAAACCGGCCCCAAGACTGACCCCTGGGGCACTCTGCTTGATACCGGCTGCCAACTAGACATCAAGCCATTGATTACTACTCTTTGAGCCTGATGCTACAGACAGTTTTCTATCCACCTTACAGTCCATTCATCCAGCCCCATACTTCCTTAGCTGTCTGGGAGAATGTTGTGGGAGACTGTATCAAAAGCCTTGCTAAAATCAAGGTACATCCACTTGTTCCCTGTATCCACAGAGTCAGTCCTCTCATCATAGAAGGCAATCAGGTTGGCCAGGTGTGACTTGCCCTTGGTGAATCCATGATGACTTTTCCTAATCACCTTCTTCTCCTGCAAGTGTTTAGAAATGGATTCCTCTACTATCTGCTCCATGAGTTTTCCAGGGACTGAGGTGAGGCTGACAGGTAGATGTAGTTCCTGGATCCTCCTTTTTCCCTTTCTTAAATATGGAAACTATGTTTTCCCCTTTTCAGTCATCCAGGACCTCTCCTAATAGCCATGAGTTTTCAAAGATGATGGCCAGTGGCTCTGCAATCACGTCAGCCAACTCCCTCAGCACCCCCGGATACATTCCATCTGGCCACATGGACTTGTACACATCCAGCTTTTCTAAGTAGTCTCTAACCTGTTCTTTCACCACTGATGGCTGCTCACTGCCTCCCCAGACTGTGCTGCCCAGTGCAGTAGTCTGGGAGCTGACTGTGCCTGTGACAACTGAGATGAAAAAAGTGTTGCATACTTCAGCCTTTTCTGTGTCCTCTGACACTAGGTTGCCTTCCTCTTTTCTTTTCTTTTCTTTTCTTTTCTTTTCTTTTCTTTTCTTTTCTTTTCTTTTCTTCCTTTCTCTAAATCATCAAGCTGTTTGCCATGTCTAAGGGAAAAAAATATTTCTGATTGGAAGTTCCTGCCAATACATAGACAACCCATTTATAGCTAGAGACTACTTTTTAAATATGGCATTATTTGGGTTCCTAAATTTTCAAATATTATCTTGACCATATACAAAAATTAAAACCTGAATGATGTCCTTGGCTTTAAAAACCTTCTGCTGACTTGGAATGCTCTTTCTTATCCTCATAATGATTTTGCCTTTTGTTTCCATAGGAGCATATCTTGTGCCATATTTAATTTTGCTGCTGATAATAGGGATTCCACTGTTTTTTCTGGAACTTTCTGTGGGCCAGCGAATCCGACGAGGGAGCATTGGTGTGTGGAATTATATCAGCCCCAAGCTTGGTGGAATTGGATTTGCAAGCTGTGTAGTAAGTTCTTAACATAACTTGTCTCTTATTCTCCATAGCTTTAAAGTGAAACACATTAGGGTAGTTGTTCTCGACCTTGGTAGAATCAAGGCACCCCTTGGAAAATTCCAGCTCTTAGTTTTCACTAATTTATTGACTATAGAAAAAATAATAGAACAATTCTATTGCAAAGAACATAGAAAGACAGAATGTTTTTGACACTATGGGCATGTCTACATGAGACCCATTAATGTTCATTAACCTAATTTAATATGCATTACAGGCATGTGTCTACACATGCACACCCTTAGTGCGCATTAAAAATGGTGAAATTAGGCTAATCGTGCCTGCAAATATAGGTATCAAATCTAGTTGCGATTAGTTAAAGCATATTAATGCACATGTAGACACAACCTGGCACTACCTTTAGTGCTGGGTCTGCCCAGCCACTAGGGGCACATGGCAGGGCTGCAGGGAGTTAGCACTAATGTTAGTGCCAAGTGCACTAACGTTAGTGCTAAGTCCTTGCATGTGCAGACACCTGCCAAAAAATCACTTAGTGTGCGTTAGCTTAATGCACATTAAATGTAGTCACACTTAAATGAATGTGTAGATGTGCCCTATGGATTGCCTTTTTGAAATCTCTGGGTTTCACTTGTGAATCATGTTTGCATACCTAACTGCTAATATTGAAGAGCATGCTGTGGCACCTTGGTTGACAGTCACTGTGTTTAAGATTTCTGTTCAGTTTAAACAAAAGGCAAATAATTATTCTTAGCATCAGAGTAATTTTGCAGACCTTTTAACTCCTAGTCTAATGTACAAATATTTATGTTAATGCTCAGAATAATGTGAATGTGTTAAATCAATTGATGTATATTCTGAAATTCTTTTGAAGCTTGGGTGCTAGGGAGCAACACATGGATAGGATTAACCTTCTTGGAGGAAGAGTCTTCAAAATATTGCAATGTATGTATGTTAAATATTGGAACTGTTCTGTTTTAATTTTAGATATATTGAAAAGGCCAAGTTATGAATCCTTTAGGCAGTGTTCAGTGAGACAAATGTTACTTTTACTTTAGTGGAAGTTTTGTGGAATAGTATAGTGGTTACCTTAGCATCTTTAATTTAATGTAAATAAGAAATGATTTAAGTAAGCTCGTTCTATGCCGTTTTTTACAGGTATGTTTCTTTGTGGCCCTCTACTATAATGTCATCATTGGATGGAGTTTGTTTTACTTTTCCCAGTCTTTTCAGCATCCGTTACCATGGGATCAGTGTCCCTTGGTGAAAAACGCTTCTCATACCTGTAAGTCTTAAATGTATTCATGTTTATACAAAAACATTTGGAGCTTGGTCCAGGGTTTAGAAGTCAACTACAGTCTTATCATTGACAGGCATAAACTTTGGATTAGGTTCTTTCCTGGGATATTTTCAATCAAAACAATCACATGTCTCTTTTTTAAACCTTCTTTTCTTAAAACTAATACTTATGACTAATGTAACTGAAAAAAAATTGAGGAAAAGATATGTTTTCTTAGTTTTCCAGTTTGTTTTTGGTACCTCAGTGCAGTGTATTTAGTCAGTTTCCCTCTTTTCGCTAGATAGTGGCTCAGTCAGTCAGTTTATCTTTAGGCTTTTCACATAGTAGCAGGAGAGAGAAAACATTTAGAACTAATATTATTGTCAGGACTCCAAAAAAGCTGTAGTACCAAAAACTGTCTCATTAAAAATAAATGAACATATTTACTCAAATCCATAACAAGGTTTCTTCTCCTGCATTCAACATGTGGGAAAAGCCCCTCATCTTGGATTCAAGTACAAGGTGGAGGGTCAGGTGGCTGCTATAGTCCTAACCCTGAGCTGGGCTCAGGGTCGGAGCAGGAGCCACTTCTCCCCCATCAGCTGAATCCCTACTGCCTTCTTCCCCACCACTGCTGCCTCTGCCCTGAGGTGCCCTGACTCCTACAGCCTCTTCCCCATTGCCTTGCCTCTGTTGCCTCTTCCCTGAGACACCCTGCTGTCCTGCCACCTCCCCACCCCACTTGCCTCCTTGCTCCCTCACTGCCACTGTCACTTATTTGTGGCTCTGACTCCAGCTCTGGTCCAATCCCCTGCCTGGGACCAGGGCTGGAGCTGCCACCATTGCAACTGCTGCTTCCTTGTTAGGTGGGAGTTGGAGCCCCCAAGTCCTCTGGGCTGAAGTGGGTCAGGTGCCAGAGCCCTGGCTGAGGGTATGTGATGGAGGAGCAGGGAGGAGGGGGTGGCCAAGATGGTCAGGCACTGCAGAGGGATGAGGGGCAAGTGGGAGGGACCACAGTGTGGGGGAGTGCAGGCACTGGGGAGGCACATGCAATGGTGGGGTGGTGCAGAAGGGGGAGGGGGGGAATGGTACCAGAGGCTGCAGCAACAGGGGGAGGGGCAGGCAGCAGGAAGGGCAAGTAGTCAGGGAGCTGGTTTGCAAGCCTGCTGCTTTCCTGTCAACTGCTTGCCCCATGCTGCTGCTTTCCCTGTTGCAGCATTGTAGAGGGGTGATTTTAGGACTACCCCCCAATGATTAGATTCTATACATGGAAATTATAAATTATAATTTATATAAATTTGAAGTCATCTTAGATTCAGGTAAATACAGTAGTCTTTAAACCCATAAGGCGAATATGACTTCAGTATGTTTATTAAAAGCAAACTAAATTTATCTAAGAAAAATATACAGAATTTGTAACAGCATAGCAATGTAAAATTCGTATGATGACTAATTGAATAATGAAAATAACTTTTAAACAAAGTTGAAAGCTAAACAATAATTATTGTCATATTTTGATATTGATTTTTATGTTTATTTTGGCGGCAAGAATACATTGAAGAACAATTTTTCTATATTTAGCACCGTATGAAAAAAAAGAACTTCATTGTGGTTACAGCAAGATGTTTACAAGTATATCATAGTTATAAGATTTTCCATTAAAGATTTCAGTGTCTTGTTTATTAAAATACCCTAATATAAACACATTAGGCAGTGAAAATCTCCAAAGGATCAGTGAATGACTTGTGTATCAAACAATATTATGTTTGCTTCATAAATCAAAAGGAACAGCAAATTATCCATCAGTTTGGAATCATAAGAAGATAATCCCATCCTGTCATGACACTGAGGGACAGCTAAGTACTCCTTATCTTCAAGATTTGATTATCTTACAATGTCTACACTTTGCATTGCCTTCATCTTCAGAGTGTACTGCATTTTTATCTGTTTAATGGGGGTAACTAGTATAATTTCTATATTTCTGTAAGGTCTTTGCCTGTTTTACTTGCATGTTCAATGCTTGGAGGCAAAGCTTCAGCCAATATAAATTGTCATATTTCCCTTCAATCAGCAACCCGTTGAAGATCTGCTCCTTTTACAATAATCTTTAAAATAAACCTCTTTTCTTCCCTTCATAAACTATTCTGATTCAGCACCTATAGTAGAAACTGTATGAGTTCAAACAAGTCAGTTATTTAAGTGCAAGTTTATTCAATAACTTGTAGTAGCATGGCAGCCTTATGGTTATGTTGTGGCATATACAGTGCTATAATACACATAACCCCTTCAGTTGAATGTTACTGCTCAGGACCCTGTTTTCAAGTGCCTGAGCACTTTTGTACAATTAAAATGTTATTTTAACCTTTGTGTGCTAAACTACCTGTGTGAGTATATAAGATCTGCAACTGTTATTGAAGCATCCATGTTTAAAATCTAGCTACACCATATTTATTTAAAAAATAAATCACTCACATTTTGCAGTAACTTTCCAGTAAATTACTATATGGCAAAACCATAGTTTAAGTGTTAAATGCAACTTGAACTTTAGTATATAACACATTTTGGTAGTGCATAGGTTTCTGCACAGAAATTAACTTCATTCAAAAGAGAAAGGATTTATTCAGTAGGCTTCAAAGTGCCATCTCTGAAGGTCTCAAACTGTGATGTTTTTGTATTGGAGTACCTTACAGATTTTTGTGTGTATATATAGTCTTCCTGTAAAATGATGGTACCGTAGTAGCAAAATATGTAAGTAATGTAACTAATGTAAGTACTAAAATGGCTTTAGTATGTGATTAAGAGTATTTCCTACCCAGAATCCAATGACCATTAATGATTTGTTTATTTTCTTCCCAGTTATAGAGCCTGAATGTGAAAAAAGTTCTGCTACTACCTATTATTGGTACAGAGAAGCACTGAATATTTCCAGCTCACTCTCAGAGGGTGGGGGGTTAAACTGGAAAATGACTATTTGTTTGCTGGCTGCCTGGGTTATGGTGTGTCTTGCAATGATAAAAGGAATACAGTCTTCAGGCAAAGTAAGTATATACTTTAAAGCATAGTTGAAATAGGTTTGGTCTTATGGTTCCTTATTGTTTTGCTCGCTTTGAGCCCCATTCGTAAAAGTGTCCATGCTACTATAATCACTTTTGTCATGAGGGCTGAATACAGCTCCTTTTGGAAGCCTATGCTGAAAACCTTTTTTTGATTAGATATCTGCTTTAGCTTTTATTTATCACTTCCTTATAAAGTCAGCCAATTTTGCTACTGAATTAATTAGACACAACTGTATTGACTCTAATGATTTTCCCCCATTTATACCAGCAATGAATTTGACATGGTGTGCATGTCTGAGGAAACATGGACAGTATTCTAACACTGATATGGGTCTTCACATGTGGAGTGCTAGAAAAAAGTGTTTTTTTTCATAATGGATTGGATTAAAAGTTAAGACAGTTTACAGCATCTTAATAAAATGGTGCATTCCTGAAAAGATGGAGAAAAATCCAAAATAGCTAATGAGCAAAAGTTTCAAAAGTACCATTTTCAGACATGACTTAGGCCAGATTTTTACATCTACTTAAGTTGGCCCTGAAGATGTCTTTGGGTAGCTAAAGATTCGTATAGGTATGTAGCGTGATTGTTAAAACATCAGGCATTTCTAGACGTGCTCTGGGAAGCAGTTGGGGAGCACTTTAATTAGCAGAGCTCTGAGAGCTGTACTAATGAAAAGTGCCCGGAGCATGTCATGTGTATCAGCATCCTCACACAGAAAAATGGCGGTGGGGTGCTCTGAACTAAAAGCTTGTCTTTAGTTTAAAGCACTCCGCCTTCATTTTTCAGCATAGGGACGCTGATACACATGACACTGGAGTCTGCTGGAGCACAGTAATTATCATCCTTCAGCAGACTCAATTAAGTCTGTTCCAACACTTAATCGCAGCACATCTGAGCAGCCTCCCTGCATGCATATGGGAGCTCATCTACGGTCTGCATCCAGTAAAAGACTTTATTTCCTAAATTGGGAATTAAGCAAAATTTAGCCTCCTAATCCAAAATTACAATCCTGAAAACAGTTGCTTAGCTGCTGTGTAATTTTGGAGATACCAGGTCTAGCAATTTGAAATTCAGGATCCTCAGGTGCCTTATTTTGTACCTCGGCATACACCTATAACTACCCAACTCTTCCAGGGCTGAGTAGCTCAGCACCTAGTGTACAGTAAAGCTAACCAGACAGGCAGAAATTAGAGACATTCCTCTGTACATTTCTGTCCTCCCTCTTCCTTATTTGTTAGGTGTGTTTTCATGAGCAAACCTAATACACACTAGCAGGACTGAGATCATGCTCCATTCACGATGCTGAAGTAGGACTACCATTCAGAAAATAATTCAAATGACTTTAAGCCAGACGGAGAGTAAAAACACAAGAAGCACCATTTTTCTAGATCTTAGTAAATTAATGTTTTACAATAAATAATCACTGTATAAAATATAGAAATAGTCTTCAGAGCAGGGCCTGGAACCCAGGTCTTACTTTCTCAGGACATGTCCTGTTGAATATGCTTCAGAGGAATGTTTCATCTTGAATTCTTGCCCTATCTCATGCTGTTTCTCTCCCTTTTTCTGGCCAAGTGGATCTAGAATTCTTGCATGCTTTCTAGATGAGGCATTTAAACATCAAAGAGTAGGATATAAACGTGTCCTAAGCATTTCTGCTGTCTAGATAGCTGCAAGTCCTTGCTCAATGTGATAGATATTTTGAGTCCCATTTTAAAGCACCTCTCTCTTCTCATGAACTGTACAGGGAGTCTCTGTAAAGGATCTACTTTACAGAGGTTTCTTGATTTCATACCTACCATACAGGATGTGCTTTATTGGATCTAGCCATAGGTAACTTAAGTAATTTATAAATCAGATTTGAATTAGTACCTATATACTGTTGAAACTGCTGTAGGGGTTTATCAGAACATACCTTTAAAACATTTCCATTAGTTTATTGGTTAGGGCATGTGCTCAAGAGGTAAGAAACCTGGGTTTGGTGTCCTTACCCTTAAGAAGGTTTGAACAGTCATCAACTTTCCAAGAGCCACTTCTCTAAACACCAGGTTATGGTTTATGTCAAGGCTTAAGGCATCTTTCACCCCTTGTGTGCAGCCATGGGTGAAAGAACAAGTAGAACATGTGAAGATGAAGAAAAAGTAGGTTTGATTAGGAGCTGTGCTGTTCCCCTGCGAGAGAGGAGACCCTGGGTTCTGGCCTTGACTTCTAATGTTGTTTATCTAACTCTGTAATGCAAAACGAATAAGCAGCCCATGGAGCAAACAAGACGAGTATGAATTTCTAGCTCAGTTTGGGAGATACCCAGCTGGGAGGTGGGACTCCTGGTCTCTGCTCTCAGTGCTAATCATCCATTTTATCCCGTGACTAATGCAAAATGCATAAACAGTAAAGGCAGCTGGGACTGTTTGCATACTCTGTCCTTCAGGCTTTTCCTCCAATAATTCCTCATCATAACTGAATCTGTAAAGATTGTATTTAATATGAGTGCAAGTACTAATCAAATAATTTCTTCTTATAACTTCCCATGCCAGGGGGAATTGTACTAAGTCATACTGGGAGCATCTACATGAGATGTTTAACTTCACATTGGCATAGTTTAGTTTGAGGTAAGCATGTGTGTCTACACATGCACATGCTTACTTTGCATTAAACCTCCCGAATACCAAGTATATTTGCTACCTGCAAATACAAGTAGTAAATTTACTTGGCATTAATAACGGCACTGCAGCACTCATGTAGACACTTGACTGGGAGCAAAATCCACCGGGGGAGGGAGTTAATTCCCTGCCCCCAGGAGCTGCCTGCTCCTAGGAGGCTCTGCCACAGGAGCCCATGTGAGGACTACGTCCCCCTGCCCTGGCAGCGGGGAGCTCCAATCCTCCTGCTCCCAAATTGCAATCGGGCTGGAGGCTGGAAGGTCCTTATCTCTCAACTCCCACTCCACCATCATGATCAGGGAGTAGGGGGCTCGGAGATAAGCAACTTCCAGCAGTGGCCAGTGTTGGGAACTCCCTGCTAGGGGGGGCTGGGGAGCTTGTTCCCTGCCCAGTTCCATGAGCATGGAGCTGAGGGGAGATCAGGCTGGGGAGCTTATTACCCCCCCAGCTCTATGAGCACAGAGCTGGTGGGGGAAAAAACTCCCCAGCCTGTTCTCCCACCCAGCTCTGTGCTCACAGAGCTGGGCAAGGAACAAGCTCTCCAGCCTCTGCCCTGTGTGGTCAGGTGGGGAAAATGTCCCCCTGCCCTGGCAGCAGGGAGCTTGCAGCCCCCGCTTCCTGATTGAGATTGCAGAGTAGGGGCTGGGAATAAGGATTGTGCAGTCAGGGGCTGGGAGCTGCCAGCATAAGATCAGTTCTCAGCCAGCCCCAGGCTGCATAGGGAAGCACATGCAGCCTGGAGGTGGCTGGGGACGATCCTGTTTCAGGCAGTCCCCAGCCAGCTTTGGGCTGCATATGCAGACTTCCCCTCAGAGCCTGGGGCTGGCCAGGAACTGTCCCAGTCAGGGGCAAGTCCCAGCCCCATTCTTCGATTGGGTGATTGAGGCCCAGGGATTGGAAGAGCTTCAGGGGTGAGGTAGATCCCAGCCCCCTTCTCTGCTAGCTGCTCCACCAATGGATTGGGGCAGGGGGCTGGGATCTGCCACTCCCCTGAAGCTCTTTCCAAGTTCTATGCCCTTGATCTGGGAGCCAGGGCCAGGAACTTCCTGCTGCTGGGGCAAGAGAACATTGTCCCCACCCCAGCAGCAGGCAGCCCCCCTGGGTTCAAGAGGCAGCTGTCTCCTGGCCTAATGCTTCCTGCCAGCCCCTGAGCTAGCACTCAAGTGGAGCCTGGACCTCCTCCTGATGGCGGTAGGGACCTGTTGCAGGGCTACAGAGAACTGAGAGCAAATTTGTTCTCTAATCTCCGCATGTGTAAACACCTACCCAAAAGCCCTTACTCTGCAGTACCTTACTGCACAGTAAATCTAGGCTGCAATAAATGCATATATAGACATGCCCACTGTTATGTTATATTATAAAATATACAACCATTTTTATGGTACTCCAGATAAAAAATAATTTTGGTATGTTGTTGTTGACAGTCAAACTCTGCCCAATTATTGTTTTAGATAAGAATGGTTTGTGATATGATGTTAGAACAGATTAGGGGAAATTACTACGCTCCCCTTTAACATATGTCAATTGGAGAAACAATTTAATGTATCTAGCTTGGGCACAAAATAGCTATACCGAGCTTTTCAAGATCTAGTCAATTTACTGGCCCTTTGAAGAAAAGATGAGAAAAAGAAGATGGTATTTCATAAAAGGTGGCATTTTCAGATGAGGTTAAATAAACTGACAGTGCCTCAAGAAGACAATTTTCACAGTGAGTGGCAAATAAATGTAATGATATCAAATCCGCAGCTGTCTGGGTCCAGACATGGGAAAATAGGGTGCTCTGGTTCAGAAAATAAGGCAGAATTGTTTCCAAGGGTATCATTTCTCTAGTGTAATGGGTATAGAATTCTAGTGATGGGGACTAGGGAGGTCCTTCTAGAGCTGACTCAGATCCTACAGGTCTTAGTGTATTTACATAGATCACACAATATGCTCGGCTCCCCTTCCTTCTTGGCAACACAAAGTATTTGGTGGTATTACCTGTGTACTACATCATATCACGCTCCAAAGGGACCATGAGATACAGATCATAGCAGTGCTGCACTGAGCAGCAAGTCACTTCATCATGCACTCTGACTAAAATAGAATATGTTGGAAGGGGGGACAGGATAATTAACAGCTGCTATTGCTGTCCCTCCCCTTTGAGTCTGACCCACCCATTTAATTTTTGGGAAACTCCAGCGGTGTGTTGATCAACATGCTCACAGAGACGTCTCATTGGTATCCACACGTATCCTGTTTTGTGACTGCTTCTGCAATTTGAGTGTTCATTTCAGCAGTTTTCAGCAGTGTAGGGATATAGCCAGGCACACAGAGCAAAGCAGAAGCAGCAATTTCTGGTTGTGTCTGTGATCATTTGACTGCTGGCAGCAGCTACTTTATTTGCTCCCCTCACCAAGTCAGTCAGTGCCTAACGTGGTTGTCCCTCTTGTCCCCAACTAGTTATGCCCTTACAGTTTCTGTGAAAGGACAGTGTGAGAGGGCCTAACAAAAACATAAAATTGCAATCTTTGTCATGTAAATAAAAGAAAGTGTGAAAGAAATGAAATACGAAGTAGAGGAAGCTACGGGTGTCATTTTAATTTTGTTTTAATATTTTTCAGATCATGTATTTTAGTTCACTTTTTCCTTATGTGGTACTTATGTGCTTTCTAATTAGAGGATTGCTCTTAAATGGTTCAGTGGATGGCATTCGTCACATGTTTACACCTAAGGTACGTGCTTAACTTCTAATCTGTGTGTACTTACGGTTTCAATGGTAAATTGATCATTTATGAAACCTTTGAATAATAAAACATTGGGCTCATCAGCTATCTTTTAAAGTCTCAGCCTACTTGCATTGTAATAACTTTCAACATTGCTGTTGACTTTAATGACACAGGATCATGTCTTAAGGAGTGAGATACATCAGATGGAATCCATATAGGATGAGGAGGGCGTTGAACCCAAGTTTCCATGTTCTGGATGAGTGCTCTGACCACCATGCTGTTGTATAAAAGGGGCGCACCACATTCCTCGTCTATGATTTCTGTAGAGAACTTGGCTATGGCCATTCTACAGAGCTCAATCATGTTTGTACCTGTTATGCATGCTCTCAACATGTCTACTAGATCAGGCCCTTCAGGGTAATTTGGCAGCGGACTGCTTAGTTTGACAATCATCATTGGGTTTAGGTGCAAGCAGGCATTGAACCTGTCAGCCCTGCCAAGAGAGTGGTAGTGTTGGATATACACAGAAATGGAACTTTTCATGGCGAATGATAGAGATTTTGATACCTGTGAACTTTGGCATCTTAGTTATTAGTCAGGGGTCTTGAGGGCCATGTTATTGGCCTCAGTTACACAAATTGCACGTAGCTTCCGCTTCAGGTACTTAATCCTTTTGTTAATATGGGCCTTGCTGCCTTGTTGTTGGGAAAAAAAAACACATCATAGAAACATCCCTGTCTCATTCAAATACATTTTGCAGCTGCATTCAGTGAAATCAGGACTGGCACAGATACATATGAAATAGAATGTGATAATAAGTATCCAATGCAAAATGACAAGAAAACAACTAGCAGATTAAAATGACCCATATCAATAGGGTAAATTTACCCATAATAGCAATATTTTTTATAACTTCCATTGTGGTAATGCCAGCTGTCCCTAATTGAAGTCCATGACTTTGATTTTGGCACTATGCCAACACAAAGTAAGACAGTCCTTGCCCAGAAGTGACATACAGGCAACATAGACAAAGGATGAAAGTAAGAAAGCATTATTTTCCCAATCTTTACAATGTGGGGAAATCAGAAAAAATAAGTAACTTGCCAGCGTCATACTGAAAGTCTGTACTTGAATCAGGAACTGAACTGATGGCCTCAACAACAAGACTCTACCCTTAGGTATAAAACACTGTTAGGACAAAGTCAGAGGGAAGCTGTTCACTGCAATCCCCGTTTGATTTCTCAACATTTAGCACATGATGATTTAGACCAAATCAGGAGTAAGTTACTTACAATACTTTTTTGTATTGAAGCAATTCAGAAATAAAATTGTCTCAATTATTTAGTCTCTAAAAACAGTATTCATAATATCTTCTATTGGTTTCTAGTTGTAAGCCTCTAAAACTGATGTTTGCTGCTACCAAGTAGTTGCTTACATATGGGAATGATGAATTACATGTACTGTGGATATACATATAAGACTGGATGTTGGTCTTTGATTTTTGCTCTACTTAAGCACCAACTTGATGTTTAAAAAGGAATAGAAAAACTTCAAAAGAAAAGTACAAATGGGCCTTTTCTAAAGACCACAATTTAGGGAATAGATATGAGAATATGTGGAGAAGCAGTTCAACATACTACACTAAAATTGAATGGAATCTGGCCTAGAGTACCAGACAGCAGAAAAAATTCTAGTTTGAAACACTAGTAGAAGAATACCTATCTAGCTCCATCTAGTGAACAAGAACTAGTATGACTATGATACATATAGATACCCTGGACACGTCTACATAGACAAAATGCTACCGCACAGTAGCGTTGGTAGGCACTAAACATGATGTGTCACTACTGTGCAGTAGTAACAAGCTACTGTGTAGTAATATCTGGAAAAAAACATGTGGTGATGGTAACGCTGGTTACTGTACAGTCATTTAGTATTTGCTTATGCCACTACTAAATGACTGCCCAGTAGCAATGGTGCAGTCCACCACTTGTGTGGATGTGGCCATTAAGAGCTTGAAGGGTGTGTTCAACAGCTGTCTGCATATGCACATATGTAATGTCAATACTGTACATTTTTACAGAAAAGATATTCCTATCTTCATAGTGTAAGTCATTTTTTTCAGGACTTCCAAAACTAAGATCAGATTGAGGAGACAGATCACCTTTGGAGGAAATTGTATTTATTCTGAAATGTTATTAAAATAGCATGGGCCATATTTTTGCTCACAGTAAGAAAAAATGATCAATTAATTGTTAATGTTCCTATCTTCATGCTTTTTATTTTTACTTTTTTCCAGGTGACATTTAAAATACAAAGTACCTCATCATTACATCTTTTAGTACTACATTTAATGGAATAAAATATTAATGGAAGTATGATAGGTTCACTGAGGAAATATATTAAAGTTCACAATTTACTTCTTTTTGGGTCTACTAACTGGGTAAAATCAAGATGACTGACCAACGTTCCCCTAAAGATACAATTTCAGTAAAATTTGATCACTTGAAGGAGCAGTGCAAATGGAATTTACTATTTGTTTTCAGTTTGGGGCTCAATTTTCCCTTAGATACCCAATCCATTTAAGTCAGTGAGAGGTCTCTGTGTATACATGAGGGCAGTGTTTAACTTGAAAATTCCAAAGTTAAATGCTATAGGGAAATACAAAACTCTAAAGCTCTTGGTTCAGAGATGATACCTTTTATTAGGCCAAGGCAAAATAGCAAATGTTGGAATTTTCAGTTTTGGTCAGAGTGTATCCTGTGTATTGAGACTTCACAGGGTAAAATTTCAGTGCACTGAATTGTCACCTGTTTGCACTTACTAGAATTCCAAATGACACTTCATTTTTGCTGATGAAAACAGTCTCCAACCTTTACTAATTTGTTTTTAGAATGGAAGTTTACCATAAAGACATTTTAACAATACAAAAATCAATCGATCCACAGTTTAACAGAAAACTTAATACAGCATAGGCGAAAATTTAGTTGCCTGTTTAGTTATTGTCTGCTTCTGACAGTGTTTTAAGAATACAGATTGGGCAGAACCCTATTTCATTTTACATGCCAAACTCAGATGTGTATATACTTTGGGCACTTAGGCACAACTTTTCCATTTGAGCTTTAGCATCTAGCTGGTGTACATTATTTTCTTGGAGCGTCTGTTGTTTATTCATGCAAAATAAATACTGTATTTTGTAGTTGACATGTATTGTATCTAATTTCAAACAGCTTGAAATAATGCTGGAACCCAAAGTCTGGAGAGAAGCTGCGACTCAGGTGTTCTTTGCCTTAGGGCTTGGATTCGGTGGAGTCATTGCCTTTTCAAGCTACAACAAGAGAGACAACAACTGCCATTTTGATGCTGTTCTGGTGTCCTTCATCAATTTTTTCACTTCTGTGCTGGCAACTTTGGTGGTGTTTGCTGTTTTGGGCTTCAAAGCAAATATCATAAATGAGAAATGTATTACAGAGTATGAATATTCATTTACTTTTTAAATTATTATACATTTCACTTTGAAATTCACACATATTTTCTGATTATCTTTATTTCATTGTGTTTTACAGAAATTCAGAAAAAATTTTAAAACTTTTGAAAATAGGCAATCTTAGCCAGGATATTATCCCACATCATATCAATTTTTCAAGCATTACAGCAGAAGATTACAATTTAGTATATGACATTATTCAGAAAGTTAAAGAAGAAGAATTTCCTGCTCTTGGTCTGAAATCCTGTCAGATTGAAGATGAACTTGACAAGGTTAGAATAATATTTGAGTCTGCAATACAGGGTTTATGAATGGATGAGTATTTTGTTAGCCACCTCTCTTCCTATGAAGTTAAAAAAACCCAGTCCCACCAAAAAAACAAACCATGGTACTATATACCTAGATGTGGTTTTATTTTCTGAAGAGCCCCATATGAAATATGTACAAATATGATACAAAAGTGATAGGGCCCATGGGATTATGACTCTAATTTATGTTTCTGCATTGACCATGTACAGACATTACGCTTTTACTGGTGTAAGTGATCAGAAACTGGTCTATACCCATAACAGAACAGGAGATTGGCACATGAAATTGGTCAATACCCATAACAGTATAGAAGTTCAACATACATAGACTGGTTAAAAATGGTAGAATCCAGTTTAAGATTTGCCCCCGCCACCAAAGGGCAAAGGTATGCTCTGCTTGCTACTGATGTAAACTGTGCCACTTACAGAAAATGGTATAATTTAGATCAATTCCGCCCTGGGTTTTTTTACGTGTCTGTACCTAGCCTGAGTTACAGTGAGCTGTGGTCAAACTCTACTGATCCTTAGATCATAAAACATTATGGAATTCATTTTCAGGTCTGCTGAGTTTCCATAAAAATTAAATGGATCATGTACAGATTCAGCACTTTAAGAATATCAGACCTTTTAATTGTAAGACATCATTTTTTAAACATATATGTGACTTCATAGGGATGTGTATCACTTCACAGACAACATGATATCTTCCTTACTTATCAGGTGATTATCCTTACTTACCGGATCATTATTCTGTAGCAGCTTTAAAATCTTTCTAGTAAGCCTGAGAAATATTTCTCTTTTCCACTGCGGATTGGAATTTTACATACTGTTACATCCCCAAATCAGTTATTCCTTAGAAGGACCTAAATCATGCCCAAGAGTTTTTTAATTTAAAACAAATAAAGGCTTCATAATAGTCAAGCTGGAAATCAAGCCCTGTATTTATAAACTGGGGAATGTAGTACTTGATGATATTTTATGAAGTAAACACTGGTTAATTCACCTATGAGATAATTTGCGCTATTGTTTGCCATCTATGGTTGGATCCAGATGTGTAGGCACTTGTGGTTTGTGGTGCTGCAAACCTTTTTGCAGTGCCACAAACTGCATAAGTTGCATATCAATCAGTGCTCGGCACGGCTAATTTGCAGTACTGGGGCAAATTTTGCTACCGTGATTTCCCAGTAGCAAAAAAAAATAAACCTGGAAAAAAAGCAGGAGTGCATGGTGCCTGAAGACAGGGGAGCAAGCAGCTCTGGGCTGGCTGCTCCCCTGTCTCTGCATGCCTCAGCGTAGGGGCTCCACTGCAGAGTCGTCGTCCCCCTGCCCCCAACAGTGCTTAGGCATGTGGAGCTCCCATACTGAGCCACACTGTGTCCCGACCAGGTGTGGAGCAGCAGGCTGGGGCACAGGGACTCCACATTGCATGGAGATGGAGGAGCAGACAGCCCTGGCCTGCGTGCTCCACCATCTCCATGTACTACTCTCTGGCTTGCTGGGGCACAGGGGGCCTCATCGCAGGGGATGGCTAGCCCCTGCTAAGGCACCCTGTGCCCCAGCCACCACTCCCTGCCCCCCCCCCTGCAGCACATGATGCAGCAGGACAATGTGCCCTGCTGCAAAGCACACAGGCAGGGGCCTGCACTGGGGCACAAAGTACTGGCACAAATTTGTGCTGCTACTATTTGTGCTGCTATAAAGGCATGCCTCTGTTTGTGTGGACCCGGCTTATGGGATAATTAACTTTTTTTCCATTACCCTGCAGATACCCCCATTTCCTTCTGATTTTCAATAAATGGTCATTGCTAGATAATTCCCCATTATTTGCATTCCCCTTGAAATGGTGAATTAACTAGAATTTACTGGGGTATTTGTTGTAGCTGTGTTGGTGTAAGGACATGGCAGACAAAGTTCTTTGGGTAAATCTGATGTCTTTTATTAGACCAACTCAGTTGGAAATAAAGTCTTGGCAAGCTTTTGGGCACAAGCACCCTTCATCAGGCTGAGGAAGCATCTGCAGTAAGAGCACAGAGCAACTGGAGATGCTTCCTCAGCCTGACAAAGGGTGTTTGTGCCCAAAAGCTTGCAAAGAAGAATTTTTTTCCAACTATTTAAGTTGGTCTAATAAAATATATAAGATTTACCCAAAGAATGTTGTCTGCCTAGAATTTATTGTACCTTTTATGTAAAAATACCAGCATGAGAAGCGATGTATGCTATGAGCATCAAGAGCACTTGGACTTTCTTTTCCTGATGTTGTGCAGAACCTCCTTTCTCATGGAATTGGGTAGCAGTAGTAGGAAAAAAATTGTTATACTTTATAGTTGCATTTAAAAAATAAATTTCTAATAAGTTTGTATCAGTGTTAGGTGTTGTGACTTGATAATGAAGATGGCCACATTTTTCAGATATACCCGAATTCATAATTTCAGTTACTAGTTAAGCTGAAGCAGAGTTATAGAAATTATAGAAAATTAAGGTTGGAAGGGACTTCAGGAGGTCACATCTAGTCCAACTCCCTGCTCAAACCAGGAACATCCTCAACTAGATCATCCCAATGATGAGGGCTTTGTCTAACCAAGTCTTAAAAACCTCCAAGGATGGAGAGCCCACAATCTCTCTGGGTAAACTGTTACAGTGCTTTACTACCCTCCTAGTGAGAAAATTCTTCCTACTATCTAACCTAAAAACCCTTGCTGCAACTTGAGACCATTACTCCTTGTTCTGTCATCTGCCACCACTGAGAGTAGTCTAGCTCCATCCTCTTTTGAACCCCTCTTCAGGTAGTTGAAGGCTGCTATTAAATCCCCTCTCAGTTGAGAAATCATATTTTACACAGCAAATCTTATTCAACAAGGGTCAGATTCTATCTTTTCTGAGTAAGGAAGTTGGAATTTACACCCACACTTACAAAAATATAGCAATACATAATAACCCATTGTTATTTTGTCTCACAGTTTGCTCCATGCTCTCCATTAAACGCATATGAATTTCTTATTGACAGGCTGTTCAAGGGACTGGTTTAGCTTTTATTGCATTTACAGAAGCAATGACCCACTTCCCTGCTTCCCCATTCTGGTCAGTGATGTTCTTCCTCATGCTTGTGAATTTGGGACTTGGTAGCATGTTTGGAACTATTGAAGGCATCATCACACCTATTGTTGATACCTTCAAAGTGAGGAAGGAAATTCTTACTGGTGAGTTTTATGTTTTCATTTCTTAATGATCGATAAATTATGTCTCTGTTACTGAAACAAATGACTTTGGGGAAGTATATGAAATATTTTGTGGTTTGATTGGAAGGAAGGATCTGAGTACTGAACTATAGCAAAGAGCTACATCACTGCATTCCACTCTTTGCTCTCTATCCATATGCACAGATACCCTCACATCCCCACATAAAATTTATCCTGTGTCTTATAGTGTGAGTACTACTAACTCTGTGAGTCAAATTGCACAAGAACCTACATAACTAATTATTATAATTAATTATTTGTAATTCTCCTACATCATTTACCCCTCAAGACCATTGTCATAGACAAACATGATAGTGACATTAGCACAAAGACAGAAATATCAATAACTAATGTCAGTTTTTACAAGTTGTGCACGTGGAGACAAAATGAAGGCTTCACATACAGGCTTAAAGTTGGCTTTTCCAGTAGTTATCCTTAATGATCCTTTACCAACTGTTGCTTTAGTTAAAGAAAACAGGTCAAGTAATAAAAAGAAAGATGAAATTTACAGTTCAAAGAGATCACAGAGCTCCACAGTAGACCAAACAAATTTGTCTGTTTATCACTTGCAGAACTGATCCATGTCTGAAGGAATAGAGAAGAAAGATTAGAATGCAGGGATTAGCATTATTTAACACTATGAAGAGGATAATGTCTCTATATCCACCATTCACGAGGGATACAGCAGCAGAGCAGCTAACTATATTTTGCTATGACTTTAGAGATAAGAGGTTGAGCCCTACTCTGGACTTCAGTCAAAATTTACCTCTCTCTTTCACTTAGCTGTGAACCTAGGGAGTCAGAGGTGGCTGAACATGATGCTAGTTACTAATCCCATTCCTTTGTGTACTGCTGGCTACAAAAAGTGGCAGGTCTTTATCATACTAAACTAGAACTACTAGACTTGGAGGACTTTCAACCTGCCATTCATAAAAATACATTTACAGGAAGGAAGGCCTTAGTTCAGCAAAAAAGTGATTGTGTGTGTGAAGGGGGGTAAGTAATGTTTTGGCCACACAACACCTGCTTAACAAGTGGTGCTAAATAGGAACCATGTGTCTTAGTGTGCTGCTGGATCAAATACTTAAATTCTCCATAAGTATAAATCAGATAATTTTGGCAGAAGTATAAACCAGAGCCACTTAGGAGTTTTTGTACACTTTGCACTCAATCTTAAAGGTCTTCTCTGTTCAGACTGAAACCACATTCAATTTCCAGTAGAACTTGGGACAATCTATTACTGCTTTGTGGCCCATTCATATACTAACTGGCCCCATCTACACAAGGCGCTTACTGTTCAGTAGCTCGTTACTGCATACTAGCCAGTTACTACTGCACAGTAGCATCGTGTGGCACAAAGCATGATGCAATACTACTGTGCATTAGTAATGAGCTACTCTGCAGTGGTAATGAGCTGCTGTGCAGTCAGCATCACCAGGAAGCTCTGAGGGTCATTTGGTACTTGGGTATGCAAGTACTATATAACCGTGCAGTCAGCATCTTTTGTAGACACAGCCACTGAAGCCAAAA